TATCATCTCTCTTTCCCTTTCTTTGTTGTTGTTGTTGTTGTTTCTCTTTTATTCTTTTGTTTTTCCCTCTTCTTTTCTTTTTTATGTCCCATTATTATCGGTTCTTCCGTAATTTTTTTAACAATCGGAAGGTGCCTCAGCTTTAGGGTTTTCTTTATCAATCACTTCATTATTTTTGATTGATTTCTTTTTCCTTTTTTTCTCAATTCGTTTCTTTTGTTGTTACTGTTTATTTGTTTTTCCCTTGAGGAATTATGAAAGGTTCGAGTGAGCAATCGCCAGTGATGGTGGTTGTTAGGTCTGAGGATAGTGGTGACAGGGAGAAGGAGAAGAAGAAGAATAAGCGCCGATCTAATCGCCGATCCAAACAGAACTCTCCCAATCCAGGTATTCTTCGCTTATAATTATTCTTCGTGTTTTCTTTCTTTTATTTTCTTCTCAGGTTGTTGAGGAAAGTACAGTTAGCTGCTGTAAGATTTTTGATTTATAACGGTAAAAGAAGAAGAAGAGAGATTCGTGTTTTGGAATTTTTTGTTGTCTTTCTTTTTGTATTCTTGCTCTTGTCAGATTTATCGCCAGGAAATAATTCTGGAAAACAGAGCAATGGTCAATTTTTGTAAAACAGGATCGATTAGCTTCCTCGTTTAGGTAAATAATGTTGTCATTGGATTTGGTAAAAAGTAAATAATCCTCTGGCAACCAGGGAGTACGCTAGCGGAGTTAACTGCTTGATCCTGGAGTTGGTATTAAAACTTGACAGTAATAATTCTGGTATTTGTCAGAATAATCTTTGATGTTATGGTTTTTCTATTCGTTTTTTCATGAGATCAGCTTTCAGTTCTCAAAATGATCTACGTGGGGAATCATCAGTGTCTGTTGGAAATGGTGGCAAAACAAGGTGTTATACATCGTCTATGGGTTGCTCATCTCCGAAGCAGTTGGAATTAGACTTGCATGTCCTCGGTGAGCATGGACCAACCACAGTGTCAAGGATCGCCTATAGTTCTATGCCAACTATGCATGTAAACGAACAACAAGATGACCCAGTGCTATCTGATCTTGATGGATCAATGCTTGCTAAGCCATGCACTGAACCAATTGTTGGTAGAGGCCCCCATGGAAAATTGCTTCCTTTTCACCAGTTTGAGGGTCAAGCTCAGTGTAAAATCTTTGCTCCATACTGGTCCACGGAGACTGTTAACGAGGCATTAGAGGTTATCTTCTTATTTAGTGCAATAATATCGTTACTATAGCAGCTCTCGTTAATTTTTGTTGACTCACAGGTGTTTTCTATCTTAAATTCTTGGCAGAAAGGTGATGTATTTAAGGTGTTATTTCGTGTAAATGCTCACAATAGACTCGAGGTTTGTTTTATATGCTCCATTTCTATTGGTTGCAAATGTTCTTTCAATGCTCCCTATAAAATTTTTATTCTTAGCTATTTGCATATATCATTTTCTGTTGGTAGGCATACTGCAAAATTGAGGGGGTACCTACGGATGTTCTTATCAGTGGAATTGCTGCACAGAACAGGGCTGTAAGTTTGGGCCTCTCCAGTTTTTTTTTTGTTGAAATTCTATTTGTTGGTTGGTACTCACCAAGTAGTTAGAAAATGACCAAGACTTGCATATCTAACACGATGTGTGATCTGATCTACCTTTCCAATACAGCTAAAAGAATTGATGATAACATATGGGAACATGATTTTTTTTCTTGGTATTGATTGAAATCAATTTTTATTCTGTATAGATAGATGGTGATGTTGTGGTCATCGAGGTAGATCCTTTGTCATTCTGGACCAAAATGAAAGGGTCAAATGCACCATCAAACAATCTTTCCACAGCTGAAGATAGCAATTTACATCTTGAAGCCAATGGAAAAGTTGGTGGTGGCTGCAAAGGTAAAAGTAAAATGAACTTGGATTTGGAGTGTGCTGATTTTGGAAACTCCTTGGTTCCTCAGAAGGGGGTTCATTATGATGAGAGTACTTGTGCTGGTGAAGTTCATGATAATTATGTTAATGGGTATCACCAGTCAGCTTCAGAGTCTTCACTTGCTGTTCCTTCTACTGGGGAGGATGAAGTTTCAAATAGTGCGGGGAGGATTTGTTCCATGCTTAGTTCATACCCATCAAAAAGACCAACTGGTAGAGTTGTTGCTATCGTTGAAAAATCTCCTCGCCGAGATGTTATTGTTGGTTTTCTCAATGTTAAGCAATGGTTTTACTATAGGGAAGGCTGTAAACAAAATGCAAAAAAGAATAAGAGCTCGCTATCAATTTCAAACCGTGAATACATCGAGATGATGCCCACTGATCCAAGATTCCCAAAACTGATGGTCCTTGTGAGCGTTTTACCTGACTGCATCAAGAAAAGGTTGGAGGATGAAGATGCAACAGTTGAAATGGAGTTGGTAGCTGCACAGATCGATAATTGGAGTGACAAAAGTCCCTTTCCAGAAGCTCATGTCTCTCGTATTTTTGGACGGGGCAGTGAAATGGAGTCACAAATCAATGCTATTTTACATGAAAATGCAATTTGTTGCACTGAATTTTCCGCTGAATCACTATCCTGTCTTCCAAGCAATACCTGGGAGGTGCCAAAAGATGAATTACAAAATAGAAAAGATATCAGGAATTTGTGCATATTTACCATCGACCCTTCTAGTGCTACTGATTTAGATGATGCTCTCTCAGTTCAAAAGTTACCCAATGGCCTTGTCAGAGTGGGTGTCCACATTGCAGACGTGTCATATTTTGTTTTACCTGACACAGCCTTAGACATGGAAGCTCAATTTCGATCTACAAGTGTTTATATGTTGCGGCGCAAAATACCAATGTTGCCTCCATTGCTTTCAGAGAATTTAGGTTCTCTTAACCCTGGAGTTGATAGGCTTGCATTCTCTATCTTCTGGGACTTCAACAGTTCTGGGAATGTTGTAGATCGTTGGATTGGCCGCACTGTGATACAATCTTGCTGCAAGCTTTCATATGAACATGCCCAGGACATTGTCGATGGGATGATTGATGCAGAGACTTGGAACACCTTTGGAGATAGCCTTCCACAGTTGCATGGTCATTTTGAATGGGCAGATGTAATTGGATCTGTTATATGTCTTCATGAAATTTCAAAGACTTTAAGGGAAAAGAGGTTTGATAATGGGGCTCTACGGCTTGAAAGTTCTAAAATTGTTTTCTTTTTTGATGAATATGGAGTTCCATATGACAGCAGTCTTTGTGAACAAAAGGACTCTAATTTTATTGTTGAGGAGTTTATGCTCTTGGCGAACTTCACTGCTGCTGAAATCATATCTAGAGCTTTTCCAGATAGTGCATTACTGCGGAGGCACCCCGAACCTAATATGCGGAAACTCAGAGAGTTTGAAGGTTTTTGTTGCAAGCATGGTTTAGAATTGGACACTTCTGGTAACTTCCAACAATCCTTAGAGCGCATCAAGGAAAAGCTCAAGGATGACTCTGAGCTATTTAATATTCTTATCAACTATGCTTCAAGGCCAATGCAGTTGGCGACCTACTTTTGTAGTGGTGATTTGAAAGATAATATGAATGATTGGGGTCATTATGCACTGGCTGTTCCTCTCTACACACATTTCACTTCACCACTGCGCCGATATCCTGATATTGTTGTCCATCGAACACTGGCCGCAGCAATAGAAGCGGAGCAATTGTATATGATGGATAGAAGAATGTCTCTTAAAGCGAGGCCAGGGGAAGAAGGGACAAGATGTTTCACTGGTATTTGTTTTTGCAAAGATGTTGCAGAATCTGCAGAAGGCAAGGAAGCATTATCAGCTGCAGCATTAAAGCATAGAATTCCTTGCCCAGAGTTACTTTCACATGTTGCAGCTTATTGTAATGAGAGAAAGCTGGCTAGCAGGCATGTCAAGGATGCCTGTGACAAGCTGTACATGTGGGTTTCAGTGAAGAGGAAGGAGGTATGTTTTCTCCATTGGGACCTCTTAATGTTCAGTTCCTTACCATCCTTTAATATGTGCTTTAGCATTCTGTTTCTTTAAATAATCCAATTTGTTCGAGCTTCATGCATTAAGCTGAATAGGACACAATAAAATTGATGAAACAAATTTTAGGTTGAGGTAGTTTTTTTTTTTTTTTGTGATTGGCCATATAATGGTTAATATGCTCCAGATTCACTTGATTATAGCATGTTTGTTTATATGTACGATTGAGAATCCATTTGCTCTCTTTTTCTGCCTTGCAGGTTTTATTGTCTGATGCCAGAGTTCTGGGTCTTGGTCCAAGGTTTATGTCCATTTATATCAACAAACTAGCTGTGAGTATATCTATACCTATACAAGTATATGTTATCCATAGTTCTTGCTAGATTACATAACAGTCTCATATGCAACCACACATGCTTTCAGATTGAACGGCGTATATATTATGATGAAGTTGAAGGCCTGACAGTGGAATGGCTTGAAGCCACATCGACACTGGTGCTAAATATATGCGCCTCCAAACGCTCAGTTAGGAGAGCAGGCTCGGGGTATTACAAGGCGCTTCGTGAGGTTGCATGGGTCATAAATCCATATGATCATAACTTGGAACCTGACATGGAGAGTACCAAGGGATGTAGTGCAAGCCAGCATTCCAATGCCATTTTGAAATCTGAAATTGATCCTTTGGTTTTCCCTCTCACAGTGCGTCTTCTCTCAACAATCCCTGTTGCCCTTCATGCAATTGGCGGGGATGATGGGCCCCCTGATATTGGGGTGCGTCTATTCATGAGCTCATATTTTACCTAAACTGCATCACGAGCTGGCAATTTGAGTGTTGGATAAAGTTCTCCACTCAGTGAACCTACAGAATTGAAGGTAGCTGAGCTTTATAAGGGATCACAAGAGCTCTTCTGTAGATAAGAACTCTAGTGTATAGTTTTAGATATTTTTCTTTTTTAAAAAAGGGAAAATCCGTGGTTTTTTAAGAATCACTGATATAGTGATATTTAATGTGTTTTTAAAAATACCTTCGATGCTAAGGCATATAGTAGAAGGTGTAGATAATAGCGGGCTCCGTGCTGTGGGAGTTTAGCTAAGGTGGCTGTTTTTAACAAAAGCTGCTTCATAGCGGAATTGGCCCTTGTTTTTGGAGGCCAGTTCCATCGGGCATAATTTTGTGGCTCATGTCGGGTGCTTTGGAGCCAATCTCATGCTCTCTTCTCAGTTAATGTAATGTGGACCAATGCATCCCATAACCTTTTATCTTGGGTAGCTGGTTCCTAGCTTTTATAATAACAAAATGCAGTATGTTGGACTGGGAGATGACAATATGTTTACTTGTGAATAAAATGGCCGTTTTGGCTTTTAAACATGCTGTTAATGTATTGGCAGTTTCATTTGAGTCCTGTATGTAATTTTGCTTTTGGGGAATGCAGAATCTGATGTGGGTAATGAGTAAAAGCAGCAATCTTGACTATCCTAAGTATTTTTGTGAGCCAAGAATGAACATGCATGTCTTTGACGAATAAAAGAAATGGGAATGATGAATTCCCTTCAAGCTATCACAAATATTCAAACTGGATCAAATTGAGTTTCCTACCTATCTAGATTTCGATCAATTAACTAACTTGTTGATGTGATCTATGGTTAATCATTCCTTAAACAGGCACAGGATAAACCCGTGAGGCATAAGTTCATTCTTCCATTCAAATTTTGAGCTTTTTGCATAAAATCTTGGTGGTGATCGGTGAAAAACAAGTTCATATCGAATCTCTATGCTATAAATAATGACCTTATAACTTGTTCATTTATTTAGCTATTGATGATGACAAGGGCGTGGATCAATCAAAATCGATGGGCAAGGGACTTAATTGGAGCAGCTATGATAGTTTAGAGACAAATATGTTATTTTCCATGAAAAGATTAAAAATAAAAATACCCTTTCAGAAGCCATAAATGAACTTGCCAAAAGTCTTTATGTACACAACAATAACGAAGACGAGGAAACCAATCGATTGATTATTCCGTGCGAAGGATCCTTCTTAGATATTGAGAAAGTAAAAAAGAATTTAAGAGAGAATAACAGATTGTCTGCAAAACTTCAATTATTATTGCTTGCTTCCCAAATCTCTAAGATAATGGTTAATATACAATGAATGTAACCCACCAACTACTCCAGCTAACTCCTAATAACTTCAACTAACATTTATCTATTTAACTTCCATTGCATTCTCTTTTTATCCCTTAACTACCATGGTAACTAACTAACTCGCATCTGTTATATTCTTTACATGTTATTTCTGTCATAATTCCTCACCTGCTGTTGCTAATCCTTGATTAAACTTCTGGTTCATAACAATACTTTTTTCTTTAAACGATTCTTGTCCTCACAAATCGACATTGAATTTTGAAAATTGCTTAAAAAACTTCTCTTGCTCTTCCCAAGTGGCATCTTCTTTTAATAGATTTAACCATTATGGAAGTATCATTACCACTGCATGATTGCCCTTTTTCGTTGGCTTTCTATCAAAAATTGCTACAAGCAACCATCTAGGTGGTAGCCAAGTGGTAAAAACTTGGGATCAAGGGGTTTGCTCCCTCTGTGGTCTCAGGTTCGAGTCCTTGGTTGCTCATATGATGGCCACTGGAGGCTTACATGGTTGTTAACTTCAGGGCCCGTGGGATTAGTCGTGATGCGCGCAAGCTGGCCCGGACACCCACGTTAATCTAAAAAAAAAAAAAATTGCTACAAGCTTGATCCTCACTCTGCCTCCATCATTTTCCAATGAAAGTGCTGAAGTGACTGCATTATTTCCCACCTTCATTTAAGCAATTATGAATGAAAGCCCTTTCTAGTAATTGCAGCTTATAAGCCATGGCTACCCTTTGTATTGTTTTATAAGGTCTATAAAAACAACAATTTAACTTGATTTCAATAGTTTATAAGGCCAAGACTTCATATATACCAAATCTTTCACTTGGAATTCTCTCTCGATTATGCCTTTATCAACCATTGATTTCATTCTATTTTGTTCCCTTTCTAATTGCAATTGTAACCATTGATCCAAGCCTGCCCTTTGTTGAACCATTTCCTCAACTGCTGTTATTGAGGTAGTTTCACGTGGATCTAATTCTCTATAAGGAGGAGGACAACCATAAAGTACCTGAAATGAAGTCATTTTAATAGCTGAATGATGACTAAAATCATACCACCGTTAAGCTTGAAACAACCAATCACGCCACTTGCTTGAATTGTGCATTATCATACACCTGAGATGCGCTTCTAAACATTAATTAACTCTTTTAGTCTATCTATTTGTCCGAGGATAGTAAGATGAGCTCAATAATAGTTGGACTTCCAATAGCTTGAACAGCCCTTTCCAAAATATACTATTGAGAATTTTATCAATGTCAGTAAAAATGGTTATAGATAACCTATGAAACTTACAAACATGATCTAAGAATAATTGAGCAATTTTTTAAGCAATACAAGGATGAGTTATAACAAAGAAATGTTCATATTTAGTAAACTTGACCATAATGACTAATATAACATTCTTTCCCCATGAACTTGGCAAGCCTTCACTGAAGTCTATTGTTATGTTTCTTTAAATACCCTATGATAAAGGCAATGGTTGAAGCAATCCATGATACGACACTCATGCAATCTAAGAAAGGGTTAGATAAAGAAATCAAGATTCTAGCGTCATTGTATCTGCTATCTAATTTTAGGACAACAATTATAATTTTCAATTCGAGTATTGGATCAGGTTGAAAATATACCAAAAAAATTTTAAAATATTATTCTATATTGGGATAAAATTTCAGGTCAATGAAAGTTTGGAGAGATCCTTATGATATAGGTCAGAACATGCTACATGAATTTTGTTAGTTATATTCTTTTGATTTATAAACTTTTTATTTGACAATGATCCTTTTTCTATAAAGGTGTAACAATTTGTTTTGGGAATTTCATAATTTTATAAGAATCCTTAATAGGCTGCAACATAATTTTCAAGTGTGGCAAGGATTCATTAATTCTCCAAAATCCTTTTCTTACAAGGATTTTTTATCCATTCAATATTTATAATTTCAATCAAGAAATTAAATTACATTAAAATATAATAAAAAAAAGTCAATAATGTTATAATCAATAAGTAATTTAAATAAAATGAGATAGATAGATAATATGAAACCTAAATTTAATATAATTATTCAACATTAAATAAATAAAAAATAAGATAAATAAAAAAATTTATTATAAAATTCCTCAATGCAGCCCGAATCTTCAATTTTCACATGTTTTTAACATATTTTAGTCCTAATTTCAAATATATGGTTCTTTCTTGTCTAAATAAATTATTAGTCCTACCATATATAATTGAAAAGCTTGAGATATCTAGTTTTTAGCCCAACTTGAATCGTAATAGAACTCCACATCTAACTTCATATATGTCTCAAAAAATACACGAAGGTCTAGTTTGGAGGATTTGACAAGATTTGTATAATAATTTCAATCATCTGAAATAACATGTTCCTGAACTTTATTTAACATGAAGATTTACCACTATACTTTCATATGTTTAGTATTTCCCTGTAAAATTTCAGCTCAATTCGATATATGGTTTGAGAGATATACATGATTTCACGAAACTAGCCATTAAACATTTTAAAACCAAATTCGAACCTGACCTTATTCATATTATAAATTTAATAAACTTGTAAAATCAAATCAATTTTACTGATTTTGTACAAGACAAGTCTGATTTTAGTAGTTTTTAAATGTTTAGTTTGATTTTATATGTTAAATATATGTTAACTCATCAAATCATTGATTTTACTTATCACTTGTGACTTTGAAAACAATGAGTCGGATGTGCCCAAATGACTTCGAAAGGTTTCAACTTCACAAACCATTCTCATAATCAAACAAGCCAATGAATTCTTTTTTATAGCAATGAAAAAGCTTCTTTAAAAACCTTCTTTTTATAAAAAATGAAGTCTTCTTGGCTGATCAAAATACGAAGTTACATCATTATCAACTATTTTAAAGTGAAAAACAGGCCTGTAAGAAGCAGAATACAAAATCACCACAAAGTAACAAAAAGGAGAAGCCAATCCACCTTCTGTGTGAGCATTAGGTTCTGATGGCAAGCAAGTTGAACCATGAGGTACACGACTGTGTGAGCTCGAGATCAAGACTCAGATCCTGTTACTGTAAATGATGCATCCCCAGAAGAATTCTGGGCTTCTAGTAGCTTTGCCTGGCGTTCTGCGTGTTCTCTTTCACATTGAGTAATCCCCATTATAATATCAAGCATTGTACCTGTTGTACCAAAGAACACAAGGGGTCCAAATGATTTTCGTTTTATCCCAACTGGAATTGCAAGCAAAGCTCCTGCAACTGAGAAAACCCATGTACCTAGTGCGCTGCAGATATAGATCATTCAGTAGTTATCATCATAGTTTTGTTCGGAACAACAGGTAAATGAATAAAGAAGGAGAAAAAAATTTACGCGCACATATTATCTGCATAAATATTTTTCATGTGGAAGTGTTGTTTGAGGGACATGGCCTTCTAGAATGAAACTAAGACATAAAACTTGGTGTTCTCAATCGAAGTCAAAGACCAAGACCAAGACCAAATCAGAAACCAGACACAAATCTGTTCATGAGTACAATACTAGATATGGCTAGGATAGCAGTGTGACAAACAAATGTCCAATCTTCAGTTTTCTCCCTTCTAATAAAGATCAATCTGTGCCTAAATCAAAAGGAAATGCACATCCGCAAACTCCTCTAACTAGCAGCAGTCACATGAAATTATAACTCACTAACTTAAGGGAAACTTTCAACTAACTGAAACGAAAGCGATCAGCCCAGAAAATCAAAATCTTTTCAAGTCTTCAATTTCATCAAAGCAACGATAAAAGAAACATTGACAAATCGGAAGTAAAAATGAAGATGAAACTAACTTGGCAACCGAGCACTCCTCAAGGTGCTTAACATTCTCTTGCCCTGCGGCCATTGTTCTTCCCTCTGTTGAGAAAATTGATTTGATTAAAATGAAGAAATCATGGGGGTGATGTGATAAACCCTACAAGCTATCAAATTCCAATAAAGACATAAAACAGAAGAAAATAAATTTGTTAAAAATTAATAGATACCCATAAAAATAAAAAAAATGATTCCAAAACTACCTGATAAGATTTTCACCGTTCCAGAAGATGATGAATCTGTGAGAAAATAGGGTTAGAGGGCCCTGCTTCTTTCTGTGCAGCATCAAGTATGTGCCGCGCTCGTCTCCGTGGTGTAAGTGATAACCGGTCCACCCGCTTCAATTACCCGGCTCACATATTACCCGGT